GTAAACCGACTGAAGTTAGACTTATAAACCTCAGAGCACTGGATCAGTGGTCTAGAAGTTTTACGTTTGGGTGCGAGATCGAAGGTGCTGAGTTTAATCACTGAGGTGGTTATGGATGTGTACTGCAGACCAGTCCTACATAAGGACATTCATGAACATTACTGACTATATGTAATGGGTAGATTAAATCCGGTCTTTTCATAAGGTCATCAGCTATTGAGTTGAGTCATGTCCAAAGGTGCGGACGTTTTCGATAAGATTTTTGGTGGATTTATGACCTATATTCAGACATTCATTTTTTTATCCATACTACTTACATTCTTTGATTTCATTTTACATGAAAATTTATCACTACAACGGAATGTACAGTTTCGGTTGTTACACGAATTTCCTCTTTTACAATACTGATAGGGAGTACTAACTTTAGTTTCTACTGATTAGTGTTAGATATTATGCTGATTAAAACGTAATTAATTTGGTTACTAACTAACAAACATCATATTAGAATATCTTGATTTAACCAATAGAATCTGTTGTACTTATTTTCAATAAGTAATATATCGCAAATAACACAAATTCTGATGCATAAAATTAACTGAAATAATGGTTCAGGACTTTTAAAAAAATAGTAACGTTTTTGTAGAAAAAAGATTAAATAATACGGATAGAAATAGGAAAAACTAGTGGTGGTAGAAAAAATAGAATTAAATATGTAGATTTAGTAGTGAGACCTATTATGGAAATCAATTACTACTTACAAGTAGTATTATAACATGTAGTTAATGGAGCAGACAATACGAACTACGGAAATAAAAGAAGCTACTGATCACTGGATAACTGTTTCTTTCCATTCTTGAATTAATTTCAAGTCCATACGTTTGATTATAAGTGACATCAAACCGAAAACAACTCAATGTCAAATTATGAAGTTATAACATTGCAGATGGTTGATAAAAAATGCTATAATATAAAAAAGGCAATTTTTCTGAGCACAAAGATGAATACGTTCCACCACATCAATTTAAACTATTTATTATGATAAATTACACCTGTCAACCATTTGAGAATTTCGATACTATCCATTCTCATCAACCTGTGTCGTTGCAACCAAATAATATATATATATATATCAGACATTGGTAGAGATCAGTATGATGTTACGTAATTCATCGATTATATCATTCACTTTAGAACACTAGAATTAAAGCAATTGAAATTGTAAACATAACAAATTGATTCATATTTACTATCATTAAATTCATTAGCAGAGGTTCTAACAATCCCCTTATAAATATTTAACAATAATAATAATAATGTCATTTATAGTTGAATGTTAAAATATTCAATAAATAACTAATAATAAATACAAAAGATTAATTAAGTTCTACACGGAATAATTTAAATCTATTTCGAAATTTCAATTCACTTTTTCAAGAAAGACTGTAATATCTGCAATCGGTCAGTGAACTAGTTAATGCCATCTATTGATTAAAAATTAATTACTTCATTTTTCCGTAAAAGAAATATGGAATATAAATTATTTATTAAATAATAAAGGTAGTTGTATCAACCAAACTGATTTTTCTTTATATTACTCTAATAATAAAATATTTAAGTGAATAAATCAACTTGGAGAGAAAGAATAACGCATGAAGAAGGGAGTTATCATGTTACTATAACAACACATGTAAATATTTTTTTAAAAAAAAAACAGCAAATTGAAACTAATCTATAATAATGATAAAAATAATGACTCATAATAACTGCGCATCCAATCCAATTTGGTCTTTATTAAATATTCCAATATTTATAGGTGTAAAAACATAAAAAAACACTGTATTTCATGAAATAGGTGTAAAGTGGAAGGTAACATCAGTTGAGTTTGTACTAAATTTATTAAGGAATAAAAATTCATTCTCCAGTTAGTCCGATAACATTAAAGAAATTAGAATATAGTGTTGTTAGACGATTTAACATATGTGATAGTTTGTATGGGTTGGTATTGTGTTAAGCCCACATAGGTTATTCTAGCCTCTGAACACACCGATCTATTCATTCTATTCAAGCCATATTTTTACCTTATCACTTAATCGCTTATTAATCCTGACTGTTTTTTTATATGATCGTATGTGTGTTAATTGCTTATTCAATTCATCACGTGTCTGCAACTTATTTTTGTTGGACTATAGATATCGAGTTAAGCTTGAATAAGAGAGTCGGTTCACACGCCTTCTCAAATGATTGTGCGTCATTTTGTTTTGTTTTGCTCTCTCCTCTTCACTACCTTCATGTCGTTTCCCTAATTGTCTGTCCAGATCGAAAATTGTGTGAAATATACGTGTTCGAAATTTATTCTCGTATTTGACTTACATATTTCCGTTATTCATTAACGCGAATTAAGTCGACGATTATAGACGAGGGCAGCCGGAATATTTTGATGACAACCAGCATACGATATAACTGGGATCGGTTACAGGGCGCCGAAGTATTTTTAATAATCCTTATTCAGTGAGGGATCGAATATACAGTTTACTCATAATTAGCTATGCATGCCACTCTTCCATATTTTTTAAACTTCAATTAACTATTTTTTAAAATTAGGTTCTCAATTGACTAGAATATTAGAGTCTGTAACGAATGCATCTACGAACATTATCCTGTATGGCTTTGTAAGAGTATTTGTAAAACACTCAGTTGTTCTATAATAATCTTAACTTTGGTCACAAGACCCAAGCAAATATTTCCTTCGAAATGGTCTATGCAGTCAAACGGTTTGGTTCCATAAGAAGAGTATAAACCAATAACGTGTGAATTGTAGACAAGTTAGCAATTTATTTTTTCAAACCTAAGTTCCATGTGCACAGCTGACATGTGCAAACCATCATTCCTCTATAGCTTTAGAGCCTAATTTTCATGGACAGTAATTTGTTAGTTTAAACGTTTCCCAAATATATTTTTTTGATCTGTTAATTTTTTTAATTATTCATTATTATCACCTTCATGTATCCAATTTATTCCCCATCCTTTTCTTTTGGTTTGATTTAATAATTTTCTTTAAATCCCTGATTGTAAAACAACTTGAAATGATTTTTTTATAATGATATTTTGTAATAGACTGCTTTATTTACTGAAATGTAAATGTGATTATCCATATATAGTCTTTATTAGTTGTGTAGTGTACATTGATGTCATCAATGACTTATAAACTGTCTTGACTGATTTTATGTCTACATATATAACTGGATATTAGGATAACGATTTGGGAGAAAGCATCTCATTAACGTTTGAATAAGGAGTCATGAATGATGAAGTTTAAATATTTTGAGGAGTGGCAAAGTGAGCATCAACAGTAAGGATTAATCGTAGTAGCACAACACGAATTGATTCTAGATGGAAACGTAGATCGTTAGAACTCAACTTAATGATCTGAAGATATCATGGTCAATGTGAGACATGAATTTCCTTGATTTTAATTACTTATCCAATTTTAAAAAGTCCAATGTTTAAGGGTTAAAAAACAATTGAAATATTAGTTACTATTCACAAAATAAAATGAAAGGAATACATCATGTTTTAATTAACTGGGAATAAGTTAATATTTTACAGTACATATAAATATCGTTAACAAATCCAAACTACTTAATAGTAGTTTAATACAGCCTATGTACATATAACGTGAGATAGAAAGATAGATAGACAATATTACTTAATGTACAACGGTGAACATCACGTTAAATAAGGATGAAAAATATTTTTTTAATTAACTCACCATTCATACCATACAATAAATGTTTAATAAGGATTTGACAACGGTCTAAAAATATCAACCAGAGAGTATTGAGTTCTATTGTTATCCAAGTTTTCTTCCCATATGAATTAACACGATAGTGAATGTCAATGTTCTTTATGATAGTTATTTATTCCAATTTGAAGTCAAATGCTTAGAAATGTTATTTCAATATATATATATATATATATGCTTGCATGTGTTTAATTATTGTGAAACGTAAATTATACTAATAGACATGTAGGATAGATAGATCGTAGCTACCAATGGGATCTAGAATGGGCTTTTCATTTTATTTAAAACTCGTCAGCTGGATTTACGTGGATACCAACAATAACCTAAACCCTTACTAATAATATGTTATATTGGAGTAATTTTATTCAAAGATGAAAAATCAATTAATTTCATTAAGTAAAACAAATTGTATGACAAAAGTCCTACATGATACTCAGTCAATATTTTTTTATACAACAGAAAACTTTAATATGAGATACCTTTACAGCACGACTAGTAAAATAGGCTTAAGATATTTTTTATGTTTGTAAAATCATTGAAATTTATTTGAACTACACACCGGATATTTTCATGATAATACTTTTCAGTATGTTAGGAACATGCTATTTATTTATACACTTCAGTTATTAGATACTTTTTAATATGTTTAGGGTGGATAAAATTGTTATGAGTCATACAATTAGTAGAAATCATAATAACTAGATAAACAAATCCAATTAAATTTCTAATGAAAATCCAAAGACTATCATATAAATTAACATTGTTACCATTTATTAAATAGAGGAAATATAGTCATCTGAAACAAAAATGTCTCTATGAAACATTTCATTCAAACAAGTTTTTTTAATAATATATTGATCGCTTTTTTTTACAGAAATAGTTAATTACTGATATATCCATATAGAAATGTTTGTAAAACATATTTCATTTAGGTAAACTAAATCAAACTAAAATAAATTAAATTAGACATATAAAACGTATCAAAATAACTTGCATATTATAAGGAATTAACAAATGTTTTTATCATTTATCAGTATAACTCCATACTATACTTGAAGTATCCTATAAATATAAGTCCATAATAAAAAGTATACCTACATCAACAGATAGAGGGATAATATAAATTAAAACCTAGTTAAATCTTGCATCAAAATAGAAAAGTTATAATAAATTATATGATTATTCAAACATAACTTACCGCTGCTTCATTAATTTGTAGAGATTCACCAAATTTATAAGGTATAGAATAAACTAGATTATTAGTAAATAGCCAAATATTAATAAATATCCATATAGTACCAATATATAAATTTGAAATGCAAAGATATATCCTGAATTGTTTTTTAATAAACCTGAGCATTATAAATAGAATAAATACATCCACAATATTGTTCTCTTTTTTTCTTTTTAATATTCATAAACAAATTCCTTTTTTTCAATGCATTTTCTATAAATACTGTGAAGAAATTTTTGTCTATATGGTTTATTATTATTCTATTTATTTCATGCAAGTTATATATTAAATATTCATTTGCCTATAAACTAATAACACAAAACTTAACACGTGTTCTCTTTATTAGTTAATAATAACTAAAACCAACATTTAATATTTGATTGGTTAAAATTTAAAAAGTATGCGTTGATCAATATCTTACTTATGATTGGTTGAATTATTTTATTCAGAAAAATATATTTATACCGGCAAAGGTCAGACTGTATTTTGATTTATTAAGTTGTTTTTTTTCCCGGCGAATAGTTTATTTTCGGGAGGGGGGATATGTCTGGTAAATAAAAAGATATGATGTTAAATTTTCATCATTATCTTAGTATAGATGACTTAAATATCATTTTGAAGTATTATTTGTTTCTATTCTGTCTATCCGTTTTTTTTGAAATCATGGAATATACATTTCATAAATGTTATTTGAGAAATTTCTGGATTGTTTTATTTTCAAAAAAAGTGATTGATTTTCTTTTATCGAATTAATATTTTCGTTTTATAAAAAACGTCTTTTGATAGAAAGTAACGAAAATATGTTAGTTACTTTACAATGTACTTTGTATTACTTTAGGCTTAATTGGAAATTTAGGATGATACAAATGATCAGATAGAATTAAATTCATGTAGGGAAATATTTTGTTCACTTACTAGATAAAGAGATGAACATTTATTTAAATATAATGCCCGTTGCATACTTAGTAACACAGAAGTTGATCAATGCTTTTAGTAGAGAACCATATGAAAGCAAATATTTGGTTTGTACTTTTTAAATATTAAAATACTAATAAGTAAGACTTATTAATTGGATTAACATACACAGACTTCATAGCCGACTACATCAATTTTTATCAACGGAATAACTATAACAGTTTAATTTCCCATAAGTGCGTTGTAATCAGAGAAAAAATTTTTCCATCAGTAAACGTGTAAGATTTGCATTTATGAAATAGGATCTGAATTCTGACGCTTGTTTAGAAATGCAAATTGACCGTAGAAAGAAAATATTTTGCATATAAACTTTTTTCAGACTGTGAAAGTTGATTTCTCAAAATTATGAATAGAATTCAATTAATATTACATGGTTGAAGTGTTTAGTCAAGGTGTTGTTAGCCTAAAAGTCTATTAGTTTCATTTGGAAATTGTTATATCCCGATAATAATAATAATAATAATAATAATAACAATAAATGGTAACTTTTGTGATCCATTTCAGGACTAATACTATACATATATTTTTATTGTATATATGGTAAATGACTAAACTATTCATATTCGTGTCCCTCTTATCATAAGCTTTATTTTGACCTATGAACTGTTGTTATACGATTTACCATTCTTCAGTTATGACTTGTCTATCAATTACTATCTCCCTTATTCACAGCCACATTTGGCTAAATATTGTACAGATGTTATTTCCTATTTTATTGTACGATGTGGTCTGTCTGGTTGGCACATAAACCCAATATGTTTAAAATAAATGATTCATATTGCGGAAGCTGAGATTGGTGTTCTCGACTTAAGAGGCTGGGCTAGGCGGAAAGCAGGACTGATAAGGACTCTAGGCTGCTCGTACGTGTCTTATACGTCATTGGTCCAATCGATAATTCACTGTTCTCTAATTGGCAGTATCATTACGTTATATGTTAACAGGATACACAGGCCACAAGTTATAACAGGAATAACCAATAGTTGCCCTAATGTCAAAACTAAAAATAACCAGTAAATTAAACTATGTTTAGAATGCTTTTAAACCTTTAAAACTGTGGAAATCCATTCTTCAGCTCTGAAATCTAAATATTATATTGTTGAGTAAATTCTTGCTGGTCCATCTCTATACATTATATGGAGAAATGAACATAATCAAATTACTCAAAAGTGATTACACAGGTAGCTCAATATGATACTTACCAAACAAGTGTAAATCTGATTCGAACAAATGATTTCTACCATTGAATTTCTAAGGAGATTTCACAATCTATCAGAATTTTACAACAAATATGTGAACAAGTTAGTAGTGAGTTGTTTTACATATTTGGCTACCACATTGTATAATGAGACTGTTTTTATGAGTGAGAAATAGATTATTTTAGACATATTTGTTTCTCGCATTAAAAAAAAATTTTAGAACATGTTCAAACAAGCAAAATATTTCTATTTGCATCGATATGATATCGATTTCTAGAAAAAGGGATAAACATTATTCATATCATAACAAGAACGTTATGAATTTACGCCTACTGAAAATTTTGGCTAGCCAGTGAGACAGATTGGTGAAATTTCTAATTATAATAATGAGTGGAACTGTGAAAAACAAATCAAATAACTTAAGCGTTATTCATAGGTTTTTATCAAATGATTGGACAGTATATTAAAACTCTCTGATCATCTGAATTGTCTATCTACTCAAATACTAGATATTGGTGTAATGATAAACGCCAATATCAATTTACTTGTTAGTTTTAGCAGAGGTCACTTGACTAGTAGCTGAATGAAAAGGCATATATATGCTTTGTTATTAACTCGTTTCGATTGTTTAAACGAGATACACAATATATAAATCCGCTACGTTTTGAAAATTTATCAGCAGAAAAGTTAGAAGTATCACAAAAGGTTTATTAGTTTTTCCGTAAATGGCTAATAACTGTTTTGATAATGTAATGAGAAAGAAATGTTAGATAATCAAACAAATGAGATCTGGCTTCCTGATCATTGTTGGACGGCAATGTTAAGTTACAAACAAAGGTATATAGACTTATTTCATAACATGGGATTGACGGGGAATAATCATGAATAAATAAATATTTGTAATATCCCAATGAGTAGAAAAATTAGATTTTCTGACGTTTCGTGGCTTAGTGTAAGTCACTTCTTCAGAGAATAAATGACCGAATTTAGTGATTTGGTTATTTATTATCTGAAGAAGTAACTTACACTAAGCCACGAAACGTCAGAAAATCTAATTTTTCTACTCATTGGGATATTACAAATATATTATTTATTTATTTATAACAATTTACACAATGCTCAATTTATTCGAAATTATCAAATCAAATCTTGGTAATGATACCAATAATCATGAATGTTTGAATGTACACTGAATATCGCAATTCTTTTAATAGTAAAATTATTAATGAATACAGTAAAACATACAATACCGACGGCCTTGGGCGACCAATCAAAACAAGCTAGACTATGTGCATATTTAAAATGCTGATGTGGCTAGATTGTTGCTGGAACTCATGATTTTCATCAAATTACGTATTTTGAAAGGATTGGATGGTAATTTTGATGTTGAGTGAACTAGTAAGGTCAGTATTTCAGGGTTAGGAGTTAGGATTAAGAAGCTTTGAGGCTAGGATGTACGGTTTAGGGGTTACGGTCTGGGAGTTTTAGGGTTAGGAGCTAGGTTTTGGAAGAGAGAGGACTAGAAGATAGTGTCTGTCTGGATTACAGTACAATGATTTACAGTCTAAATTATTGATATTTAGCACCAATAAGTTTACTACTGGTGTTAAAACTCCTAATCCTTTGCAATCTTCTAATTTTCCTACATTTTAAGGCACTTTCACGATATATTTTTAAAGCATTTATACCGTAACAAATGCAAAAGTCTGTCATCACTTTTACACATCCAACGTTGTCTTATTCAATATTATGCCTTATTTTGACCTCTGTAACGCAATAATTATGAACTTATAACTGTAGAGCCTGATGACGAAGTTATCTCATTTTCAACAACTTTTGTCCAAAAGACACATAAAACACTTTCACAGAATAAAAGAATATGTACTGTCGATACACTAGAACAGGAAGTAATGAATGTTAAGAGATGTTTTAAAAATAATAGATACCCACTGAAATTTATTGAGAAATATGGAAAACGTGAGAATAAAAAACCCAAAGAAACTACAACAAATAAAAAACCTATTTTTATTCAACTTAAATCCAAAGGAGATAATATCACAAGGTCGATCAACATGAGACTAAAAACTTCATTGACAGGAACTGATCCTGCAGCTAAACTAATTGTCTTGTTCAAAACAACATGTTCTTCAACACAATCAAAAGTTTATAGGTATCCCTTTGGTGTTGCCACCAAATGTGTATACAAATTTACATGTATCTACCAAAGCACTTACATGGGCATAACAGAAAGGAGAGCCTACGTTCGATTCAGAGAACATATTCCGAAAAATATAAGATCAAATGGATCAAAAATACTCATTATTACCATCTCAAGACATCTTTTTGACACAAGACATGAAGTCGATACACTAGAGTTTTTCAGTGATTAACAAACAATCAAACTCCAATCTTTTGAAATTTGCCGAAGCGATGGCGACCAAACTTCTTAAACCACATCTATGTATCCAAAAAGAGGCAGTAATAAATCTTTCTTTGATCTAGTCACATTACACCTCTTCTTATTAATTATGTCATTAAATGGGAATTATCTGTCAGCATTATGTCATTCACTATTTTAACTCTCTGAAATCTAATTACATCATTGTCATTTTTCTTCAAATCATAGCTGACTGATATCAATTCATATCTTTATTACCATTAATCTGTTTCCAGATGTTTCATTACATAATCATCTAATGTTTGTTAACTCCATGAGTTCTTATCACTATTTCAATGTTCTGGAACTTTACCTCCCAAACTTTATTTATCCGAAACAAAATTTTTATGACCTTATTAACTCTATCGAAATCTTCACTACATCATGACACACATAATCATCTTTAGTCACCCTCGTATGTATGAGTATATCAACAATTGTAATAACGTTGCCTTGAAAAATGTTATATGTTGTAAGCAGCTGATGAGAGCCTAACGAAATAAAATGAATTCATATTATTCTGCATCAATCTTCGTTCTTGCTCTCTTTAAGACCTTAATGATTTTCGGTTTTAAATATCTTCTACTCATGAGAAGAAAAAATAACAACTAAAGATTTTCCAGCTATGCTTCTCCAGGTAATGAGACACACTATTTATCACGTCTAAAAGAAAGCAACTTTATGTATCCTTATCATCTAAATGTGAGAAAGAATCTACTACGAATTTTTTCTTTTTGATGATTTTCCGCGCCTTTCTATCCTATTATAGATTCATAATAGAAAGGGGGAAGATACTAAAGTTACTGGTAATTCTGAATTTCGCCTAGGGACTTAGTTCTATAGTGTGAAAATACTAAGAATATATATAATTGATAAACGCCTTCTAAAATTGAAGTGGTTTAAAATAAGGTCTCGATTTGAATCTCAATGTTTCATATAGATATGTAGGCAGAAAGTTCATCTTTTATTTTTAGGTTGTGCAATATCGCAAATAACCAATATATTATAAAATGAAGAAACTACAGTGATATTAAAATGGCTGATGACTTAGTTTTACGATAGTTGCTTGCCGAAGACTGAGTTAACCCAATATTACTACAAAGCAAAAACGTCGAACTAATAAGAATGTTTCACATTATAAGTAAGGAAAGATAATCAATACAAGTCGGTGATATCATAAGGAAACATAGAATACAGAAAATCCCATGACATGTTCAAAGTATTAGCAAATATAGAAAAGTCAAGAAAGACTCATAATTCAATAGCGTACTACATCTTTCTTGACAGAGAATAGATAGGCTAAGAATTTTAACTGTCGGCAGAATGAGAATTGAGTTCTCGATATTTTTTACTAATACGTTCTGTAAATCCCCAATATAGGTTTGTGAAGGTTGTTGAATTTCATCGGAATCATGAGCCAATTAAGTTAGACAACCATTGAAAACCTGGAGTCTCGGACTAGGACGAAACGGCAGTCTAGAGCTTCCAGTTTTTCTGTGATAGTCTTACTTTCATTGGTTCGCGATTTCACTGAAATTCAACACTGTCCGCAAACCTATACTAACAATCATCATGGACTCATTATTGACGAGCTTCGAGAGGGAGTTTCCGGACTACTAGTTAGAAGTGGTGACCAGTGAAGATAAACCATGTGGGGTGTGAAGTAGTTATCCACCGAAGACAATGGAAGATGGTCGCACACTATCATGGACTGATTGAAGTTAAACTTGTACACCGTTGGATAAAAGGTTAGTGGGTCAGGAGCCAAGCGTTCACACACGAGACCGAATATCCCGGGTTTGATTCCCGCTTGTGGGGTCGTGAGCGGGAACTGCTGAGGCGTCCCACACTGAGATAAAACAGTTGTTCAGTGCTTCTAGGTTTTTAATGGTTGTCTAACTGATCGATTCATGATCTCAATGACGTTCTGTAAACCTGGTTGCGTCAATTACAATGAGACGCCGACATCAACTCTTGATTCAGTAACCTTTGAACATTATTGAGCTTTAGATTATTTGGCAAAACTGCTGAATATATATTGCTGGGCATAAAGCTGAAGCATTTTATTCCGTCGACCACTTCTGAAAGAAAATAAATCTTATAAAACAATATGATAAATTACTATTTTACTCTACTTTTGAAATACGATATCGATTCATAACCCGCTTACTTGTCAGCATGAGTTCTAAACACTGATTAAGTAAAAAAACGGGATAGGATACGTGTCCGTAAATTTGTAGTGGCTTAGCTTCGTTAATCGATCACCTCGATAACCGTTATTATATATATATATATATATATATATATATATATATATATATATATATATATATATATATATATATATATATATATATATATATATATATATATCCTAACTGTATTTGAAATCAGAAGCAGCAACTACAGTTTATTAGCGGATAGCATGAATTACATAGCTACAAACATATCGAACGAATTTGAAGCAGATAGGCGAATGTGTGTATGCGAGCGAGTACAGAGGAAAATTTATGGTCAAATCGAATCAAGGTGCAGCTAGGCCATCCAAAGGCTAATAATAGGATTCGAGTACATATATACATGGGAAAAAGAATGACTCACCGAGTGTTATTTAAGTGATTAACATTTTTGTTAAAGATATGTGCATAGGTTGTCACAAGTGATCACGATAATACAAAGAAATAGACGAATTGTTACTCTTTGAATAACATTGTCTGCTGAATAAGTTAAAAAAAGCGCTTAACAAAGCAAACCATAATCGGAATTGATTGTAGGAGAGTTGCTATAAATTTGTTGCGAGATTGCTTCATAATGTTTAATATATGTGCAAAATCTAGCACTTCCATTTATTTAGTGAATTATTGCTGCATATAAGAGCATAATATTCACTAAGGATTTCAAGCTTCAACTTTATTTGCTTTTTTTCGTGCGGTAGTTTGAAATGCACTACAGTGCCATGCTTACAGAGGAGATAGGCCGACACATTTAGATAATTAAAATGAAGTCCTCGGTGAAAATCACACTCCTATATCCAGTACTGACACACTAAATGAATGAAAGAATCTTCGAAAATGCTGATTTCGGACTTTTATTTAAAATTAAAAAAGAATGGTTATCCATACACTATAGGACTCTTCTCGTATATAATTAATTGAATT